TCCCCCCGGGACCCCCTGGAGCACCCATGATCCCGAAGAAGACAGCTTGAACCTAGGTGAGTCTGTCTCTTTCCCTCTAAAATTGGAAGAGGGGTTCTCCAGAAACTCTTCAGAAATGAACATGGGACTTGAATGATGTAAGCATTCTTGGGGGGTGGGGATTAAGAGTAGATGGTGGGTGTGGTTTGGGAGGAGGTGGAGGAAAGTAAAACTTGGGCTGAAGTGACAGATTGTAGGGCTGCTGGTGGTGACTTTCTATTCGTTTCCTTGTGTTACTGTACACCTGTGTGCTCCCTTCTGTGACTATGTTCTCTGCCTGTTTTTCTTCTTTACCCCTGGCACCACCTTCATTCTTACCTGCTGATATCCCTGCTGGCTTGTTCTCTTCCTGCCTACCCCCAGAACTCCCCTCTCTCCCTCCCCAGACCTCACCCCAGGATGTTGCGGAGGCTGCTGGAGCGGCCCTGCACGCTGGCCCTGCTTGTGGGCTCTCAGCTGGCTGTCATGATGTATCTGTCACTGGGGGGCTTCCGAAGCCTCAGTGCCCTATTTGGCCGAGATCAGGGGCCGACATTTGACTATTCTCACCCCCGTGATGTCTACAGTAACCTCAGTCACCTGCCTGGGGCCCCTGTTGCCCCAGGGGGTCCTCCAGCTCCTCAAGGTCTGCCCTACTGTCCAGAACGATCTCCTCTTTTAGGTGAGTGCAGGAGAAAGGAATAGGTGAAGGAAAGGACAAAGTATCAGGGCAGGGAGGTTTGGCCAGGCAGGGAGTGGGACTTAGAAGAAAAAAATGTACTGTGAAGTAGGCTGATGTTGAGAAAGACTCTGAATTTGGAGTTTAGGCTCTTGGGTTGGGCCACAACTTTCCATTGCCTGCCCATTAATGGGTTTTTCCTGCCCCAGGTTAGGAATTATCTTCCTTATAGATGAGCCCTAGCTTAATTAGTTAGCTGGAAGGTTCTGTTCCTTCCATCCTTCAACTATAGCTTCCATTCTCGTGAGATAGGAGGAAGTTACGGTATTCTAAGAAGGTAGGCTAGAAAAGAAGCCTGCACCTTCCAGATTAGTAATGTTGTCCCAGTGATGGAGAACCCACAACTTGTGAGATTTCTGATTGAGCCCTGGGGGGAAATGAGGCCTAGAACCAGACTGCCAAGGTCAGAGGTATTCCTAGGTCATGTTCATTCTTTTCTCTTTGACCCTCTGACCCCTGAACCTGCCATTCCTTTCGGACAGTGGGCCCTGTATCAGTGTCCTTCAGCCCAGTGCCATCACTGGCAGAGATTGTGGAGCGGAACCCCCGGGTGGAACCCGGGGGCCGATACCGCCCTGCAGAGTGTGAGCCACGCTCTCGAACAGCCATCATTGTGCCCCATCGTGCCCGGGAGCATCACCTGCGCTTGCTGCTCTACCACTTGCATCCCTTCTTACAGCGCCAGCAGCTTGCTTATGGCATCTATGTCATCCACCAGGTACCTCCAGTCCCATCCTACTCTGACTTTCTTACATAGAAGCTTCAAGCAAATGGCACTCCAGTCTCCTCCAAAGGGACCTTAGAATAATTTTAAGAAGGCCACATTAGCACCTGGCCCTGTTCTTCCAAACTTTTTAGTACCATACTTCTCATTTTGTTTAGGGTATCCCACTCTCTTGTATTCTTTTTTTTTTGAGACAGAGCCTCAAGCTGTCCTCCTGGGTAGAGTGCTGTGGCATCACAGCTCACAGCAACCTCCAACTCCTGGGCTCAAGTGAGTCTTCTGCCTTAGCCTCCCAAGTAGCTGGGACCATAGGCACTCGTCACAATGCCCGGCTATTTTTTGGTTGCACCCATCATTGTTGTTTGGTGTGCCCGGGCTGGATTTGAACCCGCCACATTAGCTGTATGTGGCTAGCGCCTTAGCCACTTGAGCCACAGGCGCCAAGCCCACTCTCTTGTATTCTTTCATGATTTTTCCTTTGTTGAGTGTTCTATGCAAATTTGGATTGGACAAATTTGGGCTAAAGTTCTAGTTTTGCCATTTGTTATATGTGTGACCTTGAGCAACATACTTAACCCTCTAAAATGAGGCAGAGAGTAATAGACAATATGACACCTGTTTCACATGATTGTTGGATGTCAAGATTAAATGTTAAACAGGAGCATTTAAGTATCAGGCACATACTGATAATACAAGAAAAGCTTGTTGAGTGAATAAATGAAAAAATAGCTTGTTCTTTTCATTTTCTTTGACCCGTGCCCCCTTTGATTTCTCTCTTTTCACTTTTATCCTTCAGCCCCCCTCTTTTCCATGCTACCTATAAACATAGGCTGTTCTGCCTCTTTTATCTTCCAGGCTGGTAATGGAACATTTAACAGGGCAAAGCTGCTGAATGTTGGGGTACGGGAGGCTCTGCGTGATGAAGAGTGGGACTGCCTATTCTTGCATGATGTGGACCTCTTGCCAGAAAATGACCACAATCTGTATGTGTGTGACCCCCGGGGACCCCGCCATGTTGCTGTTGCCATGAACAAGTTTGGATACAGGTAGAGGGCATGGAAGGGTGCTGGGGAGCAGGGAAACCCACCATCCAACGGAAGGAGAGCCTGAGGGATTATGGGTGGGGATGTCTCCCCAGAAGACTTGTGAAATGCAAGGATCTTTTTCTCCCTAGCCTCCCATACCCCCAATACTTTGGAGGGGTCTCAGCGCTCACTCCTGACCAGTACCTGAAGATGAATGGCTTCCCCAATGAATACTGGGGCTGGGGTGGTGAGGATGACGACATTGCTACCAGGTCAGACTTTCTGCTACAATCTCTTTCCTCACGTCAGCCTGGATCCTTGTTTTCCAAGACCACTTGTAGCCATAGACCTTCAATTCTAACTTTTAGTTCCCTGGTCCTATACTGAATCCAATTTTTCCCCTTAATCTTTAAAGTACACCAAGTCAGGCTTTGCATGCTACTGCCCTTTCTGTCATCCTTCTATCTCATAGGGCTAGTTATATTCCTAAGAGAGGAGAGCGATCAATAGGAAATATTATTATAGGATCCCAGAGCTGTACAGGGACCTAGAGATAGTTTAGTCCCATCATGTGCTAGGGTTGCATCTAGAGTACTTCCCACAGGGGGTGGGGAGATGGGCTATACTCCATATAGCCCAGAATCACTCTATTTTTTTAAAAAATGGGGGTGGGGCCACACCATTGACATGATGCCAGCTCATTTTTTAGCATGAGAAACATGCTGACCTTCAGGCTGTGCTGACCCAATTTCATGTCTGTGGTGTGAGTATTTGGGCTTGGTATGCTGGACCAATTTCCTCCCCTCCCCCCTGCGTCCTCTGGGATGACATTTTTATGTGAATTCTCATCCTCAGCATGTGTCTAAAACACTCAGCAAATTCTAAATGTACATCTTTCATTCCTTCCCAGGCCATTTCCTTAACTTCTATGTCTGAGTTGGGTTGTTTCAAGTTCCACATTACTTGGTCCCATCCTTTTCTTAACCATGGGGGAGTGGGGAAAAGTTTGAGAACTCAGTCACTATTCTAAATGAGAGTTGTTGAGCTTTGAGCTGCAATTCCCAGTCATGTCTTATACTTTTGACAAAATAGCCTCTCACCCTGCCCTTCCCCAACTACAAGGGCAACTCCTGGGAGCCATTTAGGAAGCAAACGGAAGAGCCACAAACCTAACCTCTGCCAATTGTGTAAAGGCCCCAGGGTGCCTGGCACTGGGCCCTGGGGATTTGGATACATCCAGCTTTCACATTCTCTTCAACCATTTACATCTTTCTGTTTGACTCCCCCTCCCACCGCACTTTTTTTGTCTAACTAGTAATAATTGTTCTTTTTGTACAGAAACATGCAATCCTTTCCTTGCTGGCTTTAGCCCTTCTTGTTCACCTGTTAGCTGCTTTCCTCCACTTTAGATCCTCCAAGAGCCCCTCCTTTTTCTCATAGGGTGCGCCTCGCTGGGATGAAGATCTCTCGGCCCCCCACATCTGTGGGACACTACAAGATGGTGAAGCATCGAGGAGATAAAGGCAATGAAGAAAATCCCCACAGGTAGGAAGGGCTGCCTGGGAGTTCTTATTGGATCTTCAGGGTTTTGTGCCTCTAGCTAGAAAACTCCGAAAGGTCTTTTCTAGGAGGCACAAAAGCTAGATTCCTGGCTGTTCCTTTCTTGGTCTTAGTCTCCAACCTTTAACCCTCAGATTTGACCTCCTGGTCCGTACCCAAAATTCCTGGACACAAGATGGAATGAACTCATTGACATACCGATTGCTGGCTCGAGAACTGGGTCCTCTTTATACCAACGTCACAGCAGACATTGGGACTGACCCTCGGGGTCCCCGGGCTCCCTCTGGCCCCCGTTACCCACCTGGTTCTTCCCAAGCCTTCCGTCAAGAGATGCTGCAGCGCCGGCCCCCATCCAGGCCTGGCCCTCTACCTACTGCCAACCACACAACCCTCCGTGGTTCACACTGACTCCTCCTTCCTCCCGACCTTCATCATGAAACTGAATTTGAGGGGTTGTATTCTCCTCCTACCCCAACTCCTCACTACTGTTAGAGGGATGTGGGAGAACTGAACTCTAGTGCTATACTGGGGGACAGAGGTCTCTCCTCACTGCTGGACTGGAGCTGGGCTCCTCTAGACCTGGGGGTCCCTCTTTCTAGGGTCTCTGCAGGGCTTATGACTGTGAATCCTTAATATCATGATTTTATGTGATGGGCTGGACCCCAAGCCCCTTCCTCTTCCATGGAGAGAAGAGTGATCTGGCTTCTCCTGGGAAGTTGTTTGTTGAAGGAAGCCCCTCCCTGGGCACTTTGTACCCGTGCTGGGGTAGCTCCCTCACTGGTCCTGGCTCAGGGGGCTGGGATTTTGATATATTTTCTAATAAAGGACATTGTTGTCTCGCCTCTGCTCCTGATTTCTGTATCCCAGGCATGCTCTGCCTCTCTTTACTCTTGTCCACTCTTATGCCCATAGGTGACAGATCAGTCAGACCACACCAAGCTCCAGCAACTTTTATTTTCATGAGTGGGAGTTGGAGCTCAGCTGTGAGGTTCTGTGCCCAAGACACTGAATGCTGCCTGGCGCCCACTCTCTATACAGTCATTGACAGCAACCCCCTCATAGGAGGCTCCAGCCAGCGTCAGGGGCAGCCTTTGAGCAGCCAGAAATTGCTTAGCTGACTCTAGAAGGAAAAGGTGAAAGGAATGTTACAGCTGGGGGTCAAAATTCCTCGACCCTGCTCAACCTCACTGCTTTCCCAACTTACCCAGTTTTTGCCAGTGGCCTAGTGTGTATTGGGGGATGCAGTTCTGAGGAGAAAGGAAAGGATGCAGGGCAAAGTTTATTATTGCTGTCCCAGACCTTGATTGGCATATAATGACAAATATACTGGTCCTTGCCTTAAGGCCTTCAATGAAAAGCTGAGGGGAGTTTATCCTACTCACCTTGTGTAAATGGACTAAGCAATAACTTGGTGGCTCCTTCAGTCCTAATTGTGTGGCAACAGCTTCCTGTGCCTTCTGTTGTAACAGTTCCTGAGATAAGACACAGCCATTGGCCTCCATCGTCTGTAACCAGGAGCCTCCCAGCATCACCTAGGTAGGAAATGTAACATCAACCAGTCTTGGCTTTGCCTATACTGTGGCATAGAAGAGCCCTCTGGAAACCCCACTATGCTAAGTTTCCTCCTCTCACAGTCACTCTGAGGCCAGGGGGGCTCCCATCCTGCTCAGGGAAAGCAACTGAGTCATACACAATTCCCAGGATGCCTGGGTCTTCTGAGGATGGCACCAAGTGTCCAAATCCCTGGAGAGAAAGAAATCCATGGGTCAGGAGGGAAGGGTGCCAGCTAAGCCCGTGTCTCCTCTTCCCTTCCGTATCACACCTGGACAGGCAGACAAGCTCCTTGGTATTGCAGATTCACCACAGCTACAGACACAGCAGTAATAGTACTCAGGGCACAAGCCAGTGGTGCAGCCTTAGCAGGGAGCAGCTTGCTCAGCACTGGAAGAGATCAGGCAGAGGGCTCATTGAGGAGACATTCACACTATACTTTTGTCAATCCTCTTTGGGGTCAGACACCTGTAGGCATAACTTGTTCTGGCCCAGGGAGGTATAGCTATTGCCTCACATTGGTTGGAGAAGATGGGCTACCTCATTACCTGAAGCTGGAACAGCACTAATAATGTGGTCAGCCTCCAGACTGCTGTCCCCTAGAGATACCTGAGAGGATAAAACAGTGGACAGACAGGTACTGAGAATTTTCTGGGTGAAGTGAGACTTACTTTCAGTTTCCCAGGCACCCAAGTGTCAGGAGAGACTGGGTGCTAACCAAGGATGAAGAAATTGGGTGAGCGTGTAAGACTGCATAAAAATCATGCTTCTACATACTCCAAGAAGTGGGTCAGACAGAAGCCAGCATGGCTGCTCTGAAATGTTCTGTGAAGCTGAGTAGTTCTTTACCCTATCCCTGAACCACTTATAAGCACTACTTCTATCTACAAATTTGCACCAAAGGGGTCTTGAGGACAACTAAGGCCTAGGAACCTTAGGGCCTTAGGGCAGCTCATGTCTAAAGAGCTTCTAAAGCAGGAAAATAATGAGTAACTCCAGTACTATCAGAACTGGCCTGGTTAAACCACTTGGACAAAGGGAAATAGTGATAGGTTCATTACATTCCAGGGCTCTCCTACCTTCCAGCGCCCTTCTGCGTGGAGGCTGAGCCCAGAGACTGGCTGGCCTCTGAGAACCCTGACCCCCCTACTGGTCAGGTGAGATTCAAGAGCTTGGGGCAACATCTCCAGGCCTCCTCGGAATGACCACTGGCTCCAGCGCTCAGTCCGGGCCTGACGAATGAGTGCTGAGTCTAGCTGTGAGCTCTGTCCTATAGAGAAAGCAAAAAAGAATCATCAAAATAGTATCCCTTGGCCCCAGTCCCTCACTTTGGCAGTCCTTAAGATCTTCACCCTTTGAACCAACCCCGCCCTCACCTGCCCCCAGCAGCAGCCCCAGTAATATGGAACGATGGGTTCGCTCAGCTTGGAAGAGACTGGGAAAGCAGGACCTGATGCTGAGCTCACGGCTGTTGCCTGCAAACACTCCACGGCAGAGACTGTCCATGGCTAGAGATGCCACCTTAAGGGTGAGACTGGGACTGAGAGGCCAAGGAATAAGCTGCACTGACTGATTTCTACTGCTCCTGCTTGATAGGGAATAGGGGTGGGGCCAGGCTTAGATTTGGAGGCATTCCCAATATAACAGAAGGATAAGAAAGAAGTGAAGGCATTCACCCCCAACATTAAGTTTTGGGAATAATGGGAGGGGCACAAAGAGAAGGGCATCCCCAAATGATACAGAAGAGCCCCTAGGTGGTAAGGCCTCAGAAGGGAGTTTTGCAACTGGTTTAGGAGGGAAGAAGTTTGGTGTCTCTGAGCAGTGTCACCTCAGGTCCAAGGCGGCGCTGGGCAAAACTGTGCACAGTCTCATCAGGCTCTTTGCCCCGGGGCTTGGTCAGATCCCTCAGCCCAGCCCAAAACAGAGGTTTGGAGAAGGGGGGTGAAGGACGGAGTAGCCCCCTGCATGGAGGAAGGCACAGTGAGGAGGGAATTCCTGATTCACCTCTCCAGCTCCAGGGGGTCATTTCCATTTTTTTGGCCCCCTTTTGCTGGGAAGACTGACAGGGTGAAAAAATGGAAAAGATGGGAAGATAAGGGCAAAGTAGAGAAATGAGCAGTAAGGGGGTGATGGTGTTACCTGAGGTCAGTGGGTAGAGCATGCAGGGCACCGCCTACATACAGGAACCTGTTCTGGGCAGCTGGATGGTCTCCGCGGACACGCAACACTTGTGAGTCCAAGCCAAGTTCAGAAACCTACTCTCAATGCACCCTCAGGAAGAGGAGAAACTAAGAAAAGGTCTGATCTACTAAAATATACATCCTCGCCTAAACTCTATACCCTAGTGAAAGACCCCTCCCCAACCTCTCCGAGATATTCCACAAGCTTCTCACCATGAGCAAAGTCCGGGCTCCCAGGGCTCCTGCAGGCCTAATTCCTCGAGGTCCAAGTTCAAAAATAGCACCATCAGACCCACGGACTGAGCGAATCCAGCCTCCCAGACGCTCGCTGCCCTCCACCAGTATCACCTGGTGATAAAAGGGAGACGCTGCTGTACCGTCTCCTCTTGCTGTGGTCGTGGGCAAGAGGTCAAAGGAAGAAGGGGCGGCACATTTGGTGAGCCAGATCCACCCCATTTTCTGTCTTTCTTTCTTTCTTTCTTTTTTTGAGACAGAGCCTCAAGCTGTCCCCCTGGGTAGAATGCCGTGGCATCACAGCTCACAGCAACCTCCAACTCCTGGGCTCAAGTGAGTCTCCCAAGTCTCAGCTTCCCAAGTAGCTGGGACCACAGGCGCACGCCATCAACGCCTGGCTATTTGTTGGTTGCAGCCGTCATTGTTGTTTGGCGGGCCCGGGCTGGATTCGAACCCGCCACCTTAGATGTATGTGGCTGGCGCCTTAGCCACTTGAACCACAGGCGCCGAGCCATCCACCCCGTTTTCTTTTCTTTTCTTTTCTTTTTTTTGAGACAGAGCCTCAAGCTATCCCCCTGGGCAGAGTGCCGTGGCACCACAGCTCACAGCAACCTCCAACTCCTGGGCTCAAGCGAGTCTCCTGCC